GGGGCATCGATAATCATGACACTTGTTACTTGGGCATATGCATTTGTCAAAACTTACCAAACTATACACTTAAAATGTATTCAATTACATCTCTGATTTTTTTTTTACATCTCTGATTTTTAAAAACAAAATATATCTGTATATATTTATTTTAGATGTCCAGAAAGACACATTCAAAATTATAAAATAACAGTATTTCAAAGGTAACATTCAAAACATTTAACAATTGAGAATTACAAGCACCAACTAGTCAGATGACAGCAAGAACAACTGGTATAGTCAATCTAGGTGAATGAGACATGTATTAGCCCAGGAAAACAATAGTTATCAATAGATGGTGAGATTATTGATGTCCTGTTTCTTCTTTTGCTTATTCTCTAATTTTCTATTCTGTATTTTAATCAGGTACTTTAAAGTCAGGGGGGGAAATCTATTTTTAATTATAAAAAAGAAAAATGGTATACCTGTTGATATCACATTTCATACTGTTATAAAATTCTAATGGGTCTCAAAACCCTAATGGAACTTTTAAATAATAGATATGAGAAATGGTATACTAAAACAGCATTGAATTAGAAGTTAAAAATGGATAATGCCATAAAAATATTTTGTATCTACTACAAAGAAATAGTGAGATATATTTTTAAACTATTTTACCATTTTAATATTCTAAAATGCCCTCCCCTTGCTCCTATTACAACTAGGTCTCTATACAATTATGAGAGAGAATGTGCTGCGTGTAGTTCCTCAGTTGTGTCCGACTCTTTGCAACCTCATAGACTGTAGCCCACCAGGCTCCTTTGTCCATGGGGATTCTCCAGGCAAGAATACTGGAGTGGGTTGCCATGCCCTTCTCCAGGGGATCTTCCCAACCCAGGGGTCGAACCCAGGTCTTCCGCATTGCAGGTAGATTCTTTTTTGTCCGAGCCACCAAGAAAGCCCAAGAATACTGGACTGGGTAGCCTATCCCTTCTCCAGGGGAGCTTCCCGATCCAGGAATCAAACCAAGATCTCCTGCATTGCAGGAGGATTCTTTACCAGCTGAGCTACCAGGGAAGCCCATGGGAGAGAATATCTTTCCTCAAATTGTCTAGGCTCTGCAATGCCATTCCGCTCTAAAGTCATGACATAGTATTTTCTGATGGGTATCTTGCCCTAGGTCAAACTTCAGAATCTGGTTGAGCAAACCAGGAAACCAAACAACAGTTATCAACACTGGATAAATTTTTATAGCAAAATTATAGCCCATCACAAGGAGAGTTGCTGCCGTCTCCTCCTAGCATGGCCACTTCTATCTCTATGGCTTATCACAGCAGCAAACCTTTGCTCTGAGCAATTTCTTCAGAGGTAAGCACAATAAAATCCTGGCTATAAGAGCAGTTGCTGAGAAGCTATGATCAGCAAATAATGACCAGGGAGTCCCCTTTATCACGTCTCTCTCCATCAACAGAGAAACAATACCAGCTCCCCATCAGCCCAGTGGAGAGTCAGTGACTGGTTTAGCAACAGGACTCCTTTCTGAAATGCTCAAAACCCCAGGGTAAACATGACGCTACTGTATAACCTCCTAACGTTGCTTTACAGTGCAGCTCAAATTTGTGATTTTAAAAGCACCTTAGCCCACTGCGAGTTCACAGTTATCTTTAATGATCTGCAAATCTCAGTGTTTTTAATAGCTCATTTTCATACTGTGGCTACAGTGGCAACACCTGTACCTAAATTCTTATTGCTTATAATACCCTGGGCTGTCAGGATGTACAGTAAATGGAAGGCAGCAGCAGTATCTCCCACCTTTTTCTAGCCTTAATTTACTCTTCCTCCTCTTGAACATCAGCACAGTGAGCTTACTCCCAGAGCCTATGTGATCTCGGCTGATGGGACCAAGATCAGAGGTCATCAGCAGAGGCTGACCACCCTTCTCCATTACATAGATAGAAACAAGAAGAAGATGGCAGCAAGAGGCCACCAGGGTCTTTCCCTCTGGAAGCTCTGACTTCTGAAAGTGAAGGATCTATCCCCAGATCAAAACTACAAGGAAAATAAACAGATGTTTTCATGAAGTCCCCAATATGGCATTTCTGCAAGATACTAAACTATAAATTACATGAGCAAATATAACTTCCTCCAGACAGTTTAATGCATTCACTCTCTAAACAAAGAATCATCTTTATAACTGATATAATAAAGTATAACGTAACACTATTATTCTCAAATTTCAAAACTTAAGATATTTATTATGTAATAATAATGGTAGATACTTACTGAACAATTACTATGTGCCTGACATTGCTCTAAGCATTAACTCATATCATCTTCAACTCAGTTGTTAAAATGAGCTGGGATTTGAACCTGGCATGTCTCCAGAGTCTCTGCCATACTGCAATAGATCAAGAATCACAGACCCCATGTCCCTAAAGAAAGTGAAAGTGAAAGTCACAGCTGTGTCTGACTCTCTGCGACCCCATGGACTACACATACAGTTCATGGAATTCTCCAGGCCAGAATACTGGAGTGGGTAGCCATTCCATTCTCCAGGGGATCTTCCCAACCTAGGGATTGAACACAGGTCTCCTGCATTGCAGGTGGATTCTCTACCAGCTGAGCCACAAGGGAAGCCCTGTCCCTAGAGAAGTGAACCTAATATAAAGCCTCCCAAGGGCTCAGAAGGAAGTTGGTTATGGCTATACTTCAAAATGTCCCTGAATAGCTGGAAAACCCTCCAATGTTGTACATGTCATAACTGCCTTGCCTCACCTTACCTGCAAAAGTCTTCTGTCTAAACAGAACACAGTAAGTCCCCTACACATGAACAAGTTCTGTTCTGAGGGCACATATGTAAGTCCAACGTGTTTGTAAGTCCAACAAAGTTAGCCTAGGTGCCCAACTAACACAATTGGCTATGTGATACCGTACTGTAGTAGGTTTATGATACTTTTCACCCAAATAATACATAGAAAACAAACACCAAAAATAAAGAAAACATTTTTAATCTTACAGTACAGTACCTTGAAAAGTACAGTAGTACAGTACAACAGATGGCATACAGGGGCTGGCATCAAGCGAAGAGGCTAGAAGAGTTACTAACTGGAGCTGGGAGGTGGTCAAGCTGAAGGATTGACAGCAATAGGAGACAGGACAAGCTGCAATTTTACTCATGTCTGATGCTGATGGAACCCAGGTTCACATCTTTGAAAGTTCACAACTTGAGGGTGTGTACACAGGGGACTTAGCATACGGTTGGTTGGCTCTGAGGGAAGACAGCATCTGTTATTTTCAAAAATAGAAATGCCTCCATCGTGATTCTTTAGGTTTAAGGTTTTCTAAGCAAATTCTCTCATGGATGTAACCATCCTCATGCTCCCACGTGGTATACAAATTGATGATGATCACAGCTCATCACAGGGTCACCAGCTACCCTGGAGGTTGATTTCCATCTGCAGATCTCAATTGGGATCATGTAGGAGAAGCAGCAGCGGATGATGCTGCCTGACTCAGTTCCCTAGTACTTAACCACTTCTGCTTCCAACAGTCAGCAACTGCCACCTCTTTGTCTAAGATCTGCTTTGCCTACCAGCAGGGAAGACCAAAAGAACCCCTCCAGAGCAGTCCTTGGTCAGTGACTGGAAGCCTGACGGTATAAATATCCAGCTCCCTCACCCTGATGGGACCAACTCTAAGATGTGATTACATTGTTTTCAGAGACCCCTGCAAGGTCCAGTGAAAGTCTGCAACTGCAGAACTTGACTTCATGCCTTAGCCTGGTGTCCCACATCCCCACTCTTAGGGTGTTTCCTGGGATCACTGCAGAATCAATCACTTTCATGGCCATCATTGCCTTGGGTCTACTTCTGGTGGTGAACCAAGAGGGACAGAAGAACATGATTTTCAATCCCTCTAAACTCCCACCTCTCTGGATAATCTAAACAAACATCTTGGGATCCTTAAGTCTCCTGCTCATGATGAATGAAATGAAGTTATCCACTTATACTATCCTTGCTTATCCATGAGCTACTTACTCCTCAATCATTTTTTAAAAAATTACAGAGGTCCAGTTATTGTGAGAAAGATGGCCAGAGTGTCCCACACCAATATTACTGACTGAACACTCTAACAGGGGAACTTTGAACTGATGCCCACCTAACTGTGGTTTCAAAATAAAGAAAATACAATGGATTTAGTGATTCAAAATGCTGGCCTTCAGCCTGGAAACCAAACAGATCTCTGTCCCTTGTAACTCTGCTCTCCAAATGTGAGGACAGATCTTCAGAGGATACCAGCCCAAACCCCTCATTTTACAGTCTTGGTCCTCTGAGTCACATCTTTGTGTTAAACATTTCTCACAGTAGTTTTAAGCTTTACATATTTTACCAAAACAAAGATTGAGGTCTCTACAAGGGTTCTTTTTATTTTTTATGATGAAGTATTTATTAGTATGTCTTTTTGGAATAGGTTTTCATACGCCAGGCCTGAAAAGAAATTCCACATAGAAATCACTCTCAAAACACTTTTTAAATAGTTTAAAGTGTGTCCACCTTTCTCATCTCATCAATGACTTGTTAATGAGGAATAATTAAAATATATTCTTATTAATAAGAACGCACTGCATTTCAAAAAAAAACATTTTTAAATCTATGCACCAGTGTCTGTCAGAGAAATTAGGCTCCAGTTTCATCCATATGGAGTATCTAGATGTGGTGCATTGCAAAATAAATAAATGTGGTGTAACAAAAGATCTGCTTCATGTAATGGTTGAATTGATATAATTCAACCTGATTGAATAGATATAATTACACTCTGTTAATATCCATGTGGATTAAATAGAAAGTCATCACTCTTCTATGTACAGGACTATAATAGTTCTGCATTTCTTTCCATCCTGGAATCCGAGGACTGATTTCCCTAAATGTCTGTGATCCAAGGAATTTCAAAGAGATTCCTCCAAAATGTTCCAGAATGAACTCCAATGAGTTGTTCAGAAGGACCCAGCCAACAGCTTCGAGTTATGACTTCACCTTGGATGACTTGCTGAGGGGAAATCCACCCCCAGTAAAACGAGGGCCACTTGGTTTGGCCATTGAGAAGGTGTCCTCCATGCTTATTCTGTCCTTGTTTCTATAAGAGAGGAGGTGAGAGTTAACTTTCTTACCATCTTTTTCCTCTTCTAAGTTTGGTGTTAAGTTCTTAGGGTGAGTTAACCACTAAAAACTGCTTTGATCAAAGCTTCCAGTTTGAGACAAGATGGTGGTTTAAATGTAATTAGGTATTACTGATAACACATAGAATTAGGGAAAGACACAATTAAACATGCCTTCCTAATGTTGATCTAAATACAGACAGAAGGCCTCATTATAGCTTAAGTGCTGGGGCCGAGAGGCTCCTGACTTGTAACATCTTCCTATTTTATAAAGCATTTGTTTAGTTCCAAAGATCAGTTAGAGGAGTTTTTCTCTTGGCTCAATCATAATGACTAATTCATCATTTATCAACTTTTATATTCCAAAGTTTCAGTGGAAGCTTATATTTATCATACACACACATACACACACAGGGCATTTTCATCAAACTTGGACATTAATAAAATACAAATTTTCCTATAACTTTAGATGAGCAGCAGTTATTATTAGAAATAGTTTAAAACACAGAAAAGGCTGGGAAATATAAATAAGATAGTACATTTGGCAATAGATAAAGGAAGAAACTCCATAAAATCTACAATATATCTTCTATATAGATCTTGTTTAAATGACCCCACACACACACACACACATATTCAGGTTTCCTGTAGAAGTATCTTAAATTTATATAGATTACCTATTATATAATTACAGCCTTATAGAAAACATCTTTGGAGTTTCTTTTTCAAAATAAAAATTGAGCAAACTACTAAGATTAAAACCAATTAGATCTGACTACTAGAAATGAGTTACTTCAGAGAAGAGAACTCTACTTTTTGCAAAACAATCTGACTTGTACTGCAGACTCCAGGCCAGCCTGGGGTATAGAGTAGGGGAGTCAAGAACAGGTGGGTGGGGGTATATAGGTCAGGATTGGAGCATGATAAAAATGGTGTTTGAGAAAAATGAAAAAAAAAAAGCAGAAAGGTAAAAATGATATGAGTTGATATTTTATAAAGAGTATGTGTGAGAAGAATATCTGCAGAGATTATTCTAAATTATTCCATTTTGAAAGAATCTGTAGAGGACTGGTTCATCAATTCAGCTGTCTCTTAGCAGAATTGATTTCATTATTATAAAAACCATCCTCCATAAATAGGACAAAAGCTTTAGCCTTGAGTGGATCCAGCAAAGAAGACACCTTCAAGTACTCTGACAACTTGTCTACCTCCTGACTGTTGTTAAATGCAGGCAAGGCCCCCCCTCCTCCTGCCCTCTCTTGCCTCAAATAACCTAAATTTTCCTCTCCAAAGGAACTTAAGCTTAATGCTTCTGGCCTGATCTAAGCCGACTAACGGGAATAATGTCTCCTTTACATGATCTTTTTAATGTATTTATAGACCATCCTAATGACTCCCTTCAGCCTTCTTCCTTTCAGTCTAAACTGTCTCAGCACTTTTGTTCTTGCCTGGTCATATTTTCCTTCAGTTCCTTAATCTTTTTTTTTTCCCTGCTGTTCTCCTAAGAACTCATATTTTTCTGTCTCCCTCCAGTTTATGGATCCCAACTAAATGGAACCACCATTGACGCCCTCTGGAGAGGTCAGTCACAAGAAATAAGCATCAAGGCAAAAGCAGAGAGCCTAGAGCAGGGTACTAGAACTTTCCATGATGGTAGAAAAGCCCTGTACCTGGCCTGCCAGATGCAGCATCTACTAGCCACTAGCCACATACAGCTACTAAGTAGGTGAAATGTGACTACTGCAGTTAAGGAACTGAATTTCTAATTTGATTTAATTGTAATTCACTTTAATTTAAATAGCCACAAGTGGCACACTGCCTGGGGCAGTGCAGTTCTAGTAGATGGGCCCCTGGGAGGGGCTGAGCTATCAGACTTTATTTTGGGGGGGCTCCAAAATCACTGCAGATGGTGACTGCAGCCATGAAATTAAAAGATGCTTGCTCCTTGGAAGAAAAGCTATGACCAACCTAGACAGCATATTAAAAAGCAGAGACATTGCTTTGCCAACAAAGGTCCGTCTAGTCAAAGCTATGTCTTTTCCAGTAGTCATGTATGGATGTAAGAGTTGGACCTTGAAGAAAGCTGAGCACCAAAGAATTGATGCTTTTGAACTGTGGTATTGGAAAAGACTCTTGAGAATCCCTTGGACTGCAAGGAGATCCAACCAGTCCATCCTAAAGGAAATCAGTCCTGAATATTCATTGGAAGGACTGATGCTGAAGCTGAAACTCCAATACTTTGGCCACCTGATGCAAAGAACTGACTCCTTGGAAAAGACCCAATGCTGGGAAAGATTGAAGGCAGGAGGAGAAGGGGATGACAGAGGATGAGATGGTTGGATGGCATCACTGACTTGATGGACATGAGTTTGAGCAAGCTCTGGGAGGTGGTGATGGACAGGGAAGCCTGGCATGCTTGCAGTCCATGGGGTCGCAAAGATCTGGATATGACTGAGCAACTGAACTGAACCGAGCTATCAGAGGGGCATCCTTCTGTCAGTCAGTATGTTCTCTTTGTCTAGAAAACTGTGTGTATGTGTGGTGGGAGGATCAAAAGGCCAAAGGAAACTAAGAACTGTCATTTAAATGTGGAATGAGGGGATGTTCTGATTTATAAAAAGGGTGGATTTTTACTGGCAAATGAATTTGCATCTAGCTACTTTAAATAGCTATTTGCCACTAATGAATCATAGTGATGCATTCAGACCCTCTTTCACCATGTCCTTGAAACATCCATGTGGATGACACATCAAGCCTGACTTTCAACTCACAGTGTGAGCCTCTGCAGAATGAACTCTATGACTTGGCAATGCCATACAGCCAAGGTTCAAGCCTACAGATCCATCTGGTCCCCTCACTCACCCCAGGATTCGGAAAACAATAACAAAGTGAAGAGAACATTTGTTCTTGGGCATATAGCCATCCTGAAACCCAAAATGTTCACCTGGCATGTGCAATACCATCTCCCAGAAGAAAGGCATCCCATGCTGACACCCTACATCAGATAAAGAAGTCAGGCACTAGACATAGAAAGGGTTCAGAAACAGTTTATCTAAAACATAGGTGAAAATTATGTGTGTGTGAACTGCTCATAATTACAGTGGTCCAGCTATGTTATTAGAAGGCACAGCTTCAGCAAACCCAGGCCTCTTAACAAAATTATCTGTGGTTTTAAATGTGAGTATGCTTCAGCCCATACCACATTGACTGTGAAACTCCTTTGCAGGCACAGTCCTGACATGATCAGCCCCAAACCATGAGAACAATGTAGGGGAAAATATCACATTAGGTTTCCTCTGCTTCACAGGAGGGCCACCAGAGAGCTGATATTAATGGATCCCTGTGAGGGTCCTAAGGAGGGGTCTCAATGTCAGACAAGACACCCATCGTGCCCTGACAACCCACTGAGTGACCCTGCAGAATGCCATTTGCTCACCCCTGACCTAGTTTACCCCAGTAAGGTCTGTGACTCTGTAGCTGTCCACAATTATTTTTCTCATCTGCAGTTAAAAGGCACAACAAAACTAGAACATTTGACTAATTCTTACTTCTGAATGTATTCTTTACGTTTCTGAGCAAGGTATTTCTTCTTTAAATTCAGCAGTTCGTTGGTAAGTTTTTCGATCTCGTACTTGTATTCTTGGCTCTGTGACTCATACATATTCAATTCTGAAGACAAAACCTAGTATGACAAATAAAGCAGCATTAACAGAAGATACATGGTGAGACAATATCCTTTTCTGAATAATCTTTTTAACCTGCTGCCACTTACCTTGGTGAGGCTAGAAATACAAAACCATGCCCAGGTTTAACGGTTAACCTGCACACTTCTACCAGTTCAAGGTCTGTATCTGGGTAAAAATCTGATGGACGTTCTGAAGACTCATATCCAATGACCAACTTAATGAAACCTCATTCCCCTGCTTAAAAGGAGAGCTATCAGACACATGCAAACAGGCTCACATATGAATGGTGTAATGCACTCAAGAATATTGAGAGTCAAAAGAGAAAAACTCCCAGACATATACTATAAAATTGCTTCTTAAAGCCTTTTTTAAAATGTTCAGAAAAGTCATTACTAGGCAGTGTGATTCATCTGAGGATTATTGTAAAAACTATTCAGAATCATCCTGCCACCAGCACCATTAAGTAGGCATTCAATTTATGTTTTCCAAGGTTGTTGTTCTGCTGAATGTCAATCATCTCTTTACTGCACCCTTTGGGACTATTCACAGGTTCTCTCTTTACCGGAACACTGGGATATTTACCTCTAAGATGCAGAGGGCTATGACATATGCAAGGGAGAGGATACTACATGTGAGGGGTTGTGTTAGGAAGCCTAATTACCTGCCTCTTGCTCTGTTGTGTTCAGTAGATGCTACTGGTTTCAGGCTGGACAAAAAAAAAGAAGGTATTTATTCATCTAAACAGATGTGTAAAGGATGCTAGAGTGAGTGCTGCCCCCAACAAAAACCAAGCAGGGAAAAGGGAGGCTATCACTGTAAGGGACATGCAATAGATGCAATTGTTTTTCCTCTAGCCCTCTATTTTTAAAAATTTACATAAAAGGCGATCTTTATCTTTTGAGTGTTCATCTACTTCTGAACAGGTGTCTTAGGTGGCACTAGTGGTAAAGAAACCACCTGCAAATGCTAGGAGATATAAGAGTCATGGGCCAGGAAGATCCCCTGGAGGAGGGCATGGCAACCTGGCCTAGGATTCCTGCCTGGAGAATCCCATGGACAGAGCAGCCTAGCAGACTCTGGTCCATAGGGTTGAAAAGAGTCGGACACAACTGAAGCAACTTCACACACTCATACACACTGCTTCTGAATTCCTTCCACTTAACTATTGTGATTCTATCCTATCTGACTAAGGATTCTGACCATGTTATCATAAGCTAGAGAGAATGACCTTCATGTTGGAAGAAAATTTGCCCTAATAGTTAAACTGTTGAAGCTGAAACTCCAATCCTTTGGCCACCTGATGCAAAGAGCTGACTCATTTGAGAAGACCCTGATGCTGGGAAAGGGTGAGGGCAGGAGGAGAAGGGGATGGCAGAGGATGAGATGGTTGGATGGCATCACCAACTCAATGGACGTGGGTTTTGGGTAGACTCCAGCAGTTGGTGATGGATAGGGAGGTCTGGCGTGCTATGGTTCTTGGGGTCGCAAAGAGTTGGACACAACTGAGCGACTGAACTGAACTGAACTTAGGAGCAAAGATCTTGTTTCCAAATAATGAATGTGGAATTTCTCAACAGAGTCCAGATCATGAGGACAAATTGACGGGCAGGCTTGGTACTATGCACCGCTGAATCTTCCACTAGGGGTCACATGTCAGTCAGAGAAAAATATCTGGATACCCTGCGATAAAGGGTTAAGGTGACAAAATCCTTCTATGAACCACTGAATGCAATCCATTGCTAAGAGTGCCTATCTGACAGTAGTATAAAGAGAGACGTGTGCTTTTCTAATCTACACCCAACTCCTGAGAAAATAAGTTTTTATTTTGCTTGTTATATTCAATTGTTTAAAGGGATGAAAATAATCAAAAGATTATGCCTCTTGCAAAACTCATGTCTCAGGATACTCATGTAAAACGAATACTTAGACTGGTAAGTTGAAAATTAATGCTTTCATTACACTCCCGTTTCATCTGCCTTTTTAAAGTAAAAGGATGTGATTTTACAACATTCTCTTTGTGAAAGGATTAGTACCATATTAGTCTCGCAGCATCTATTTTACCCCAGGCAGAAAGGCAATGACTATTACCATAGTTGCGCAGGTAAGTGCCAGAATTCAGCTAGCATATGCTACAGCCTGTGCATGTGTATGTGTACAAGGCTTCCCTAGCATGCCAAGAATATCTAAGTACTTTTTTAGGAGGTAAAGCTGAAAATAGAGTGAGAACACACAGTTTTTGAGAAAACTTTAAAATGTGTAATGGTAAAACATTCCATCGCCACAGCTAAGGTTCTTGCCTCACTTAGAAGGGAACTTATGCTAACAGAATCCTAAAATGATTTGACTTTCCCTTCATGACCACTTATTTAGATAGCCCTGAAGCAAGGCCCCTGGGGACTGGGGAGTGGCCTGTGCTTTGCGTACACTTATTTCAGGTGGAATGAATAGTAAAAACCTGCTCTGACACGGTGGTCTGCTTTAGTGGGCCAGAGTGTTAAAATATTTCCTCTGTTCTTCCCCACCATCCAAATCTTCCAAATCACATTGAGATAATCCACACAAACCTTATTCCCAAAATTTCCATTCCATTGCCATCATCCTCTCTCCAACTGTTTCTCCACTTGTTCATCTGCCTGTTTTGTGGGAGTCTATTAGTCTAGGAGCAGAGGGGTAGCTTTGAGGCTTGCCCTGGGACTGGAGCACTAAAAAAGCTGATTTCAGTGGAGAGCAGCCTTTGGGAGACTGGCTTCTCGTGCCGCGGCAGGAGACTTGTCCAGGGGTGTTCCCATCCTTCAGCCAGGAAGGCGCAGAGGCTACCACTTACTTTAAGCTGCTTGGTCTTCTCCCGCAGTGTGTGGCGATAGATCTGCAGCTGCTCCGCAGCCTCGGGCCCAGGCTGCCGAGCCAGGATGTGCTTTAGTTCCACATACAGTTTCTCCTTTTCCTGGTGGAGAGCATAACCACAAGTGGAGAGAAACAGTCCCATCAAGACAAGAGCAATGACTTTAACAGCATGGTCAGGATATTCGGGATCATCTAAGGTCCTTCTCAGCTCCACACTGATTACGTTCACTTGTAGATTCATCCAGTCAAGCAACAGGCCACAGAGGGCGCTGGCCCTGCCCATCAGCTGGTCGGCAGCAGCCTCGCGATCCCCAGGCTTGCAGCCCACCACACGGAAAGCCTGCCCTCCAGGGGACTGGCAGTCACCGCACGAGGGGTGGCCTCACAGTCAGCCTGGCCAGGGACCACCCCCACCTACCAGCAGCCCACAGCCGTCAGCCCTGCCACCCAGGAGGACACACGCAGTCCCCATGGGGGCACCATTAGAGCACACAGCTCTGGGGACCAGAGGGGAGTGTGTTGTTCCAAAGGGGATCTCCTACAGAAGGCAATTTTCCCAAGGCTGGAAAAGGTAGAAACAAACACAGAGAACTGAGCAAAATGGGAAGACAGAGGAATATATTCCAAATGGAAGAACAAGACATAACCTCAGAAACATGACTAAAGGAAGTGGAGATAAGCAATCTATTCAACAAAGGACTCAAGGTAATAATCATAAAGATCCTCACTGAACTTGATAGAAGAATGGATGAATGCGGTAAGAATTTCAACAAAGCATTGGAGAATATAAAGAAGAACCAAACACAGATAAAGAATACATTAACTGGGATTTTTTTAAAAAACACCATAAGGAATCAACAGCAGATTAGATGATACAAAGGAATGATAAACTGGAAGACAGAGTAGTAGAAATTACCAAAGCTAAAAAGAAAAAAATGAATTAAAAAAAAAAATGAGTACTAGTTTAAGAGAACTTTGGTATAACAACAAGTGTAATAACATTTGCATTATAGGGGTCCCAAGTAGGAGAAGTGAGAAAGGGATAGAGAAAATATTTGAACAAATAATAGCTGAAAACTTCCCAACCTGGGAAAGAAAACAGATAGCCAGGTCCAGGAAGCACAGGGAGTAGTATCAAACAGAATCAATCTTAACAGCACCACAGCAAGATACACTGTAAGTAAAATGGCAAAAATTAAAGATAATAGGAATATATTAAGAGCAGCAAGAAAAAAGCAACTAGTTATATACATAGGAACTTCCATAAGATTATCAGCTGACTTTTCAGAAGAAAAGGGAGTGACACAATATATTCAAAGTGATGAAAGGATAAAACTTACAACCAAGAATTATCTACCCAGAAAGGTTATCATTTAGATTAGAAGGAGAGATAGTGAAAAACCCATGTTGGTACAGTCAATTAAACTATGACAAAGGAGGCAAGGATATACAATGGGGAAAAGACATCCTCTTCAATAAATGGTGCTGGAAAAACTGGACAGGGTGCATGCAAAACTATCAAACTAAACTAGTTTCTCACACCATATACAAAAATAAGCTAGAAATGGATTAAAGACTTACATGTAAGACCTAAAGCCATAAAAATTCCTAGAAGAAAACAGGCAGTAAATTCTTTGACGTCAGTCTTTACAAACATTTTTTTGGGGGGGGAGGAATCTATCTCCTCAGGCAAGGGATACAAAAATAAACAAACAGAACTACATCAAACTAAAATGCTTTTGCACAGAAAAGTACACTATCAACAAAAATGAAAAGGCAATCTACTCAACGGGAAAAGATACTTGGAAATGATAAATCCAACAAGGGGTTAATATCCAAAATATACAAAGAACTCATACAACTCAATATCAAAAAATAAAAAACTAAGTGACTCAGTAAAAAAGCAGTGGACCTAAATAGACATTTTTCCAAAGATGACATACAGATGGCCAACAGACACATGAAAAGATACTCAACATCATAAACCATTAGGGAAACGCAAATCAAAACCAAGAGATACCAACTCAGAATGGTTATCATCAGAAAAGACTATAAATAAAAAGTGTTGGTGAGGATTCGGAGAAAAGGGAGTATTTGTGCACTGTCAGTGGGACTATAAATTGGTGCAGCCAATTTGTAAATTGGAAAAGAGTGTGGAGGTTCCACAAAAAATTAAAAATAGAACTACCATATGATTCAGCAATTTCACTTCTGGGTATTTACCTTAAGAAAACAAAAACACTAATTTGAAAAGATATATGAACACCAATGTTCATTGCTGCATTATTTGTAATAGCCAAGCTATGGGAGCAACCTAAGTGTCCATTGGTAGACAAATGGATATAGAAGATGCATTATGTGTATACAAAGTGATATTACTAGCCATAAAAAAATAAAATCTTGCAACTTGCAACAACATGGATAGATCTAGAGGGCATAATGCTATGTGAAATGAGTCAGACAGAGAAAGACAAATACCATATGATCTCATTTAAAGGTAGAATCTGAAAAACAAAACAAGCAAAACAACATAGACTCATAGATAAGAAGAACAACTGGATAGTTGCCAGAGGGGAGGGGGCTAGAGGGATCCTTAGCTGAAGAGGATTAAGAGTTACAAGCCATCAGTTATAAAACAAATAAGCCATGGGAATATAACATACAGCACAAGGAAACTGGTTAATAACATTGCAACACATTTTATTTTTGTGCTAAATTATTAAAAGATTCTCCCTTTTTGAAAAAAAAAAATAATAATATTGCAACAACTTTGTGTGAGGACAGATGGTTACTAGACTTAGTGTCACAATCACTTCATAATATATGCAAATATCAAATCACTATGTAGTACACCTGAAATGAACATAATATTGTACATCAACCATATTTCAATTTTTGAAAATTGTGCATATCCCAACCCTGATCAAGGACCCAGGATGTGCACAGCATTTGGATACAAATAATAAGACAAATGAGGAAGAAAACATCTCTCTCTACCTAAACTTTTGACTACATGACTAAGAGACAAAGATGACATAAAATTTCGACAAAATATTATGGCCAGTAAAAGCAGAGAGTGACTGACTCTGATTGGAGGAGTTGGGGGGAAATTTCACAAAAACGTCATTTGAACTGTCCCTTGAGAAATGAGTAGGATTTCTCCCCAAGCAGAGAGAGAAAAGAAGAGTTTTTAATGCCCAGGTTCAGTGATAGAACAGGGGAAAGGTAGTCCAAGGTACTTGGATGCAATCTCAAAAATGACAGAATGATCTCTCTTCATTTCCAAGGAAAACCATTCAATACCACAGGAATCCAAGGCTATGCCCTGACCAGTAATGCTGAAGAAGCTTAAGTTGAATGGTTCTGTGAAGACCTACAAGACTTTCTAGAACTAACACCCAAAAAAAGATGTCCTTTTCAATATAGTGGACTGGAATGCAAAAGTAGGAAGTCAAGAGATACCTGGAGTAACAGGAAAATCTGGCCTTGAGTACATAATGAAGCAGGGCAAAGGCTAATAGAGTTTAGCCAAGAGAATGCACTGGTCATAGCAAACACCCTCTTCCAACAACACAAGAGAAGACTCTACACATGGACATCATCAGATGGTCAATACCAAAATCAGACTGGTTATATTCTTTGCAGCCAAAGATGGAGAAGCTCTATACAGTCAGTAAAAACAAGACCAGGAGCTGACTGTAGCTCATATCATGAACTCCTTATTGCCAAATTCAGACTTAAATTGAAGAAAGTAGGGAAAAGCACTAAACCATTCAGGTATGACCTAAATCAAATTCCTTATGATTATACAGTGGAAGTAAGAAATAGATTCAAGGGATTAGATCTGATAGAGTGCCTGAAGAACTACAGATGGAGGTTCATGACATTGTACATGAGGCAGTGATCAAAACCAATATACAAGGCTGTATATTGTCACCCTGCTTATTTAACTTTTATGCAGAGTACATCATGAGAAATGCTGGACTGGATGAAGCGCAAGCTGGAATCAAGATTGCCAGGAGAAATTTCAATAACCTCAGATATACAGATGACACCACCCTTATGGCAGAATGCGAAGAACTAAAGAGCCTCTTGATGAAAGTGAAAGAGAAGAGTGAAAAAGTTGGCTTAAAACTCAACATTCAGAAAACTAAGATCATGGCATCTGGTCCAATCACTTCACGGCAAATAGATGGGGGAACAGTGGAAACAGCGACAGACTAATTTTTTGGACTCCAAAATCACTGCAGATGGTGACTGCAGCCATGAAATTAGAAGACGCTTGCTCCTTGGAAGAAAAGCTATGACCAACCTAGACAGCATATTAAAAACAAAGACATTACTTTGCCAACAAAGGTCCATCTAGTCAAGGCTATGGTTTTTCCAATAGTCACGTAGAGATGTGAGAGTTGGACTATAAAGAAAACTGAGCACCGAAGAATTGATGCTTTTGAACTATGGTGTTGGAGAAGACTCTTGAGAGTCCCTTGGACTGCAAGGGGATCCAACCAGTCCATCCTAAAGGAGATCAGTCCTTAATATTCATTGGAAGGACTGATGCTGAAGTTGAAACTCCAGTACTTTGGCTACCTGATGCGAAGAACTGACTCATTGGAAAAGACCCAATGCTGGGAAAGATTGAAGGTGAGAGGAGAAGGGGATGACAGAGCATGAGATGGTTGGTTGGCATCACTGACCCTATGGACTTGAGTTTGAGTAAACTCGGGGAGGTGGTGATGGACAGGGAAGCCTGGCGTGCTGCAGTCCATGGGGTTGCAAAGAGTCAGACACGACTGAGTGACTGAACTGAACTGAAGTCCAATTCAGCAGGTCAGGTGCACTGGGAAGGTGAGGGGAGAAGAGACAGCAAAGGCTGGGTGTGTAGGTTGGCAGTGTGGTTTGGGACCACATCCTTAGGCAACTGGGAGCCAAAGATGGGCCATGCCTGGGTTTGTTTTCAGAGGAATGACTCCAGCAGGAAATCAGAGAACAGAATAAGCCCCAGTACAAGCAGAAGATGAAGAAAGCTGGACCCAAGATCGCTAGAATGGGGAAGTGGGTAGATGTGAAGAGAGTTCTGAGGTAGGACCAGGGGGATTT